TATAAAAATACTATCATACCCATTATCATTTCATATCAGGGCGTCGTCCAGACTGCTGATATACCATTCATGCCATTTTTAGAAGAGGGTAGAGAACAGCATATATTTATGGAATCAAAATATGAATTGCATGAAAAATATGGCATCACTAAAGAAATCGGTCAACAGGCTTTTGTACTTGTTCGACCTGATCTATATGTTGCTAGCGCAGTGTTTGAAGATGATATTAAAGAATTAAAGGATTTTTTAGAAGAATATTTGGTCAAAGCAGATAGATTATAAAGTTTTAAAACATGTATTTTTTTATCTTGTATTTAAAGAAAGACTAATTCGATTTATTTTATATGTTTAAAGAGAGGCTAATTCAATTTATTTTACTATATATTTTTTTAATTTACTTTATTTGTTTTTTTTCTTTCTATTTTTTTTCAAATTGCTTTGTTTAAAATCAGGTTTCAATTGTTTTATCATAGTAGCAATTTTATATTAAGTAAACTGCCGTCTAGTGTATTCAAATATTTATAATTATGACCCAGATGTAGTGCATATACATCTAAAAATCCATATTCATAGTTAATTTAAGGATATTTTTAACATGTACCAGTTGTTATAGATAACCACTATGATATATCTCGAAAACTGCACTATCAAACAGTAGTCGGGTATACTAAGTAAAAATGTTCAGCACCCCAAAATTAACCTCACGAGAACTAAGATCGGGACCTGATTAGTGATGGGAAAAATGCGCATTTTACAATAACATGCGCATGAAACGAAAAACGCACATGATACCGCATGATATAAATTCTCTTTTTTTCTGTTTCATTTCGAAAAATATCAGTATGTTTCGAGCTTGCTAGTCTTTTGAGGTTCATTCATTTTCTTTTCGGAATTGTTCGGAACTTTTGAAAATCCTATCTTTTAATTCTGTCCGGCATTATATTATTTATTTATTAGAATTAAATTTATTTTTAATATATTTTTTTATTTTTTTTATTTTTTATAGCAGAAATGCTAATTAGTATTCTTTATTAAATTTATTATAATTGTTTTATATTATATTGCATTATATTTTTTTTAATATTAGTTATGTGTTTTATATTATTATTGAAATGCATGTTTCTATCTATTAGATAAATTAAAAGAAAGACCTAATGATAATAAACATTAACAAGTTTTAAAAATATAATTATTTGTATATTATTATATACTTATATATATATATATTTATTTATAATTAATTTCAAAATATTTTATTGTTAAAATTGATACATTATTAGAAAATTCATATTATTTTATTAATAAGAAAGATAAAAAAAAATTTACAGAAATTGAATATATTATAAAAATATTGTGTTCTATATTGGATATAATTTTTTCAATAACTATAACATATTTTATCTTAAATTAGTAACTAATATTTATTAAAGAATAATATAGGTTCTAATTAGTCTAATTTATTTTTAAATATTATAAGAGTAAGATAATTTTTTTTACCTACTATAAACTGAAAAATAGATTTAAGATTATTGTTTATTAACAATAATATAGATTTGTTATATTCTGAATTTGCATATAAAGCAATATCAATAAAGATAGTTAAAGATTACAATAAATACAAAAAAATTAATAAGTATATATTGGATACTTATTTTATATATAATTTTTCTAAAAAGGCTATTGAGTATTCTACCTTTTATAAATTACAATCATCTAATAAAATAGCTAAATAATATTTAAAATAATTATCAATAATAATGATTGTAATTTATTATTGTATTAGAACTTGAAAGAAAAATTTTTGGAATTAATTTGCTAGATAATAACTTGTATTTCAATTTAAAAAAAAACCAATATATAGGTTTTTTGTACAATTAAATAATATTAATATATTAAGAAATTTACTTAATATTTTATATTTTTTTAAATAAGAAAACTTAACTTTGATATTTTTAATAATATAAATTGTTTATAAAATTTTAATAATTTAAAAATATAATTAATCAAGCTAAACATTTGTTTTATAATAATAATAATATTACAAAAATACTTTATTTAAAAAAATAACTACAAAGTCTAAATATTAAAAAACCAATTTTATTAAGAAAACATATTTTATATAAAAAGAATCTATATCTAATAAAATCAAAACTATATATAAGACAGAATCAAATAGAATATAAATATGTAATTAATATTTTTTTTGTTTAATTTCTAATGAACTATATTTTAAATATTTTATATTACAATTATAACTCTTTAATAAAAAGTGTTAAACTTAGTCTTAATATAAAGAAGAAATTAATTATTAATTTTGTATAATAAAAATTATTGCAATCTATATTGTTGAATACTATTATTATTATTGGTTTTGAATTTGTAATTAACATTATTGTATATTATTTAATTCTAACAATTGTTATAAGTTGTACTAAAAGTTAATTAGAAATATAGTTGCAATAAATAATTATAGTCAAATTTCTTTTTAATATTTTTAAATTATATTTTTTGTTATAAATTTATTTTATAAATTAATATTTTAATCTATTATTATTCTTTTTCATATTGTAATAGAATTTACTTTTTTTTATAATATGTTTATTTTTAGCTCTATATTATATTTTATATTTTTTTTAATATTTTTACATAGTTTATAGATTATTTTATTAGTTTTAATTACCTATTTAATAGGTTAATATTTATTTTATTAGTAGTGTAATAACACAGAATAGAACTATTCTAGAATTCTTTATTTATAAGATAGTCTAAGGTTATTCATATAACTTAGGATGCTACAACATTCAAAAAAGGTATTGAATTTGGTAAGTATATTAGATAAGTATTTTTTATTATGTCTTATTTTATTCTATTATGAGACTTCACATTTTGAACACATTATTTATATACTTTTCTCTATATGCTAAATATGCTATATATACTAAATACACTATTTATGCTATATGCACTATTTATGCTATATACACTAATTCAACTAATTATACTAAATCTATTAATTACACTAAAGTTACTAATTATGCTAAATTTTTTAATTACATTACATATATTAATTATGCTAATTATAGTATATTTACTATCTAATATATATATTACTTTAATTATATAAGTGATTCTTTAAATAAATTATCAATGATCTTATTTTAGATCATGACAATAGATTTCTTATCCTTTAATCTATAAGTTTTTCTGAACAAATTTGCCTAAAAAATTGTTAAAAATATGCTTATAATCCATTTTTTTAAAATTTTAAAATATTCAAATAAAATTTTATTTGATAATATTTGAAAATAAGAATTATATTATAGTAGTATTTATTTTTTAGACAAATTTGTTTAAAATATAGTTTAAAGAATAGTATTTTATTTTAGCTAATAGTTATTTGAATATTTAAAAATATAGTTGTTTAGTATTACAAGGGCCCTGATCAAAGGCCCCAGGTCATGCTCCAGATGACTTAGGTGCTTCAAAACACTTTAAAATAATGGAACAATTGATTTAATTATAATTAATTAATATTTATTAATATAATACAATATTAACTATAATGTTACTATATATTTTTTATATAATACTATAGTTATTTTTAGTTGTGCTTAGAACAATACCTATAAAAAGACTTCTGAATGCTAAATGACTATAAAAAGTTTTGTAGCTGAATATATGAGCTATTCAATAATATTTGTTTTATTTTTAATTAATATATAAGTTATTTCATAATGGAGTATCAAACATTAATAAAAATAAAAAGATACAGTATTGTTTATAATTTGTGCACAAGTATTTTTAGTGAAATGCACATGAAATTTCTTAATTTTTGCTATATTTTGGACATATATATGGTTCAAAATGATGCTATAACACATAGTAGCTCTAAAACCAATTAATTATTAGGTTAAAAGCTATAAAAAAGATAGCTTTTTGCTTTTTTAAAAGAATAGTTTTTAGAAATTCTTAGAAAGTAATTAATAGTTCTTGAAATAATTCTTTTTTAAAGTTCTTTACTTATATAAAAGAACTTTTAAATCTTAAATTATTCTTTAATAAAATATTATTTTACCTGTTTTATCTTATTATTATTAATAAAAACTATTCTTTATTTTTATTCTTTATCTTATTTTTTTTTATATTTTGTTTTTATTAATTTTTTTTTTTTTTTTTATAATAATATAAAGTGAAAAGCTGGTTTTCTTAATTAGTTATTTGGCAAATACTAGCTTTATATTATTGGAATTTAAAAGCCATATATAGTTGTTAACAGTCTGATTATTAAGCCTTTTCTTTCTCTTATTATATTTTATGAACATTTTTAAGTTTTAAAATCTAATAATTCTTGTATAGGATAAATATTTTGTTAAACCTGATTTATATAGACTGGCAGTAGAATTGGTTTAAAATCTGGTTTTATTGTTATACCTTATAGTGCCTAGAAGGCTATTAAATTTAAATTCCACTTTTAAATATTTATTTCTTATTTATTTCTTATTTTTATTTATATTATTTTTCTTTAAATAAAAGATCTTCTATTTAGTATTCATGTATTTAAAATTACTATAGCTTGCTAGTCTTTAGTAAATTTTATTACAATACCTCTTATATTTTTTATATAGTTATTTATTTAGATTTAATTACTTACAAAAAGAGTAATTTGACTTAAATAATATAATTAACTATATTTATTTATTTAAGTAAGCTTTCTAATACTTTTAAATATTTCTTTTATAAAAACTCATTTTAACAATATCAGATATACTATCATAATTGGTAATAAACTATTTTTTCTTACTTAATTCTATCAAACTTATACCAAAAAATCAAATTTATATAAAATATTATTATAATATTTTTTTTTTTTTTTTTTTTTTTTTTTTTTTTTTGTTATGCCAAAGTAGAAACTTTATTAAGTAATAAAAGCAATTA